CCACCACACACACACACTACACACACCCACACAATCTAGAACAACGCGGATTTCCGGCCCTTTCCACCTACCTTAATGAAGGCATCAATGTCGCCGACAGCTGGAATATAGTCCGGAATAAACGGCTTCAGTTTATGGTCCAGCTCGATAGACTGAGGGGTGTACCTGAAAAAAAATTCAATAACACATTCTCGAGATCCAACTCAATAAACTAGAGTGTACCTAAAAAATAATTATGCATTCTCGAGATTCACTGATTAGACTGGAGTGTACCTAAGAAAAAATAACACATTCTCAAGATCTAACTCAATAGTCAGAGGGAAGGGGTTTGAACAAGTTTTCTTAGTAAGTGTTTTACGGCACTTGCAATACAATAAGGTCAGATTAGAGGTGTTACAAGAGAGTAACAAACACAAATGAGGAGGAGGGGAGATAAAGACGATAGATGTTTGATAGGAAAGAAGGAGCAAACCACACCAGAGCCCCCGCCAATCACCCACAGAGGTTTGAGCATGTTAAAAGAGAGTAACAAACACAAAGATAAAGAGATAAAGATGACAGGGCAGGGGTTCGAACATGCACAGAGGGCCAGGGTTGGAGCACTGACCGTGTGATGTACTGGAACAGTTCCTTGATCTCGGCGGACACACTCAGGTTCTCGTAGTCGGCCGGGTCGTACGCTCTGCCACAGAAAAAACAAAACAAAACCACAATATGAGTCACAGAACGGGGCAAATGGTTATTGGGTGAGGGCTGGTACAACTTAGATAACAACAACAATAATAATAATGTAGATCATTTCTATAGCGCCCACTCCCGTGTAAACTCAGCTCTAGAAGCTTTACATAAATGCATGTACGAACAATCTTCATGCACGCACACACACACACACCCACACACACACAGGCACACACAAACTCACACACACACTCACGCACATATTACAGGCCAGGTGAGCTGTCTAAATGGTTACATCAAACATACGAAGTCATCAGTTAGTATAACGCATCATCATCACTATCATCATCATTATCATCATTCTTATCATTATCATTATCATCATCATTGTTTGGAAAGCAGAGTACTACAAAATGCCTTTTATTATTTCATACTTATAAAGTGTACAGAACGTCTCCTATAAGCAGCGTGATGTATCTATTTCCATTAGGATAAAATACGAGAAGTAACTCATTTTGCCAGAATACTTCACCAATGGTTACCGGGTGAGGGCTGG